ACAACAACAACAACAACAACAAATGCAATCAGGCCCATAAAACAATGCTCTGTCTATAACTGGTACTGTTACTACTTATATATCTTTTTATATTTATATCTATATATATTTTTTCTCTTTCCACCTCTTCTTTTCTTTATTTTTCTTACAACCGATTTAAAGCATAATAATTAAAGCTCGTTTAGTTTTTACTATTTTGAGTAGTTTTTATGCTTATTTAAGTTTGATGTATTCTTTTGCTGAATGATATTCTCTGTATTATGCAAAATAAAATGGTTGTTGTTGTTGTTGCTGTTAAAAGCAGTCCATTGCTCCATCCTTTCAGTTTACCTGTAAAGCATAACCCACAACAAGAAACAATCTTTGTAAGGAGCCACCTTCATGATCAGACACAACATCATGGTCCTTAGCCATTGTAACTTCAAATAACTGTGCACCTCTAACATTCAGCATCAAACAAAATTAGCAGGCTTACCCTCAACAATCCCAGGAACAAGTTTAGCCACAATGTCTTGCATTGTTCTGTCTAACCTGTGCGGTGTTGTAATGATCAAACATTGAATATTCAACTGACAAGTATACACAAGGCCTTCCAAGGGGGTTAGTTGTGTCGCATGCCACATCCTTTCGTGTACCGATGTCGCCTAACCAGCGGAAACAAAATGTCCCTGTCGTTTTTCTGCATGAAGTCATATGTTGCTGTCACTACACCATTGTTTTTTTAGAGAGTTTATTCAGTGGAAAAACACAAGTTTCTGACATTTGCAGACTACAATCTCTATATAAATAGGCAAAACAACCAAAAGGGCAGCAACATTGACCACTTTTCTAGTGCTTCTTATGTCGCTGTCAAATTTTAGGGGTGCATTTGATTTGCTTGTTGCTGACTAGAAATTCCCGTGTCACTGGTTTTCAAGGTCGTGTTGCTTGTCGCTTTTATCCCTTGGAAGACCTCATACATGGCAATGTTAGTTAGTGTCACTTGTTCACTCAATCCTCCTCTTGTCCTTGTGTGCATAGGGCCATTACCATAGCCGCCACCGCTACCTGTCTATCGTTTTCTTCAGGAACACTCTCCGGCTGACTCTGTTCCCCTGGCATCTCCTTCCAGTTAGTTTCACTTTATCAATAAATTATTATTTTGCAGTTCCAGAGCATATTCATACCCACCCAAAAAGTGTTATTGGAAATTCCAAGGGGGAAGGGGACGCCAAAAGCCAACATTTTAAAGGAAAGTATGAACAAACCTAGAATTTGCAGAGGAAAGGGGGGAGTTCAAACCAAAAAACCCTCCATGGGAGGGGTATGGATATTGTCTGGGACAACCAATTGTAAAAATTGCATATTTAACTTATTTTTAATAGGGTTGTAACTGAAGCTGGAGGTTACTATGTTCAATGCAAAAGAGACTACAATAATTCATAACCATTTTGACAATTAGGTATTTTGATTCTTAATGGATTACTGATTTACCTGAGGTTGAAAAGCGGTTGGGTTTCATGTATCTGCAGATTGCACATGGGACAATTCTTGCTGGTTTGGAAGTATTTCACAATACAGCTTTTGCAAACTAGGATAAAAAAGATGGAATGACCATTTAGGCCCTTTTAGCCCTAAGCATGAAATTTCAGTCCTCCTTATTGTTAATTCAAACCACAGCAGGTCTTGGGTAGAGTCTGATCTAAAATAATGTAATGCTTTTGGATCAGGTCTGAAATAAGGTAAAGGTCTCAAGAAAAGTGTTCTTTTTATAAATCCTTTATTGACCAAGCTTGTTTGGTCTAGATGGCTTGATATTGGCATTGTTCTCTTTTTGCATGTTTATGGACCTCGACTCTGTCTCAAGCCATAACCATGCAAAAAAAAGAACTTCACCAATATCAAGCCATCTTGACCTCACGCCTGGTCACTAACCAATATATATCAAAAATGATCTGTTCTAGTGCAGATATGACATACAACTCATGTAAAAAGAACAGGACAATTTCTGTACATACAGGTATGCAGACATTCTGTAATAGTCGTGGCATCAACAAAGTATCCTGCGCATAAACTGCAAACCACATGAGGGTTCAGATCACAGATTTTGATGACAACCTACAACAGCAAAATAGTTCCATGTGTTGATCTTTCGCTTACAACTGAGGAAAATTTACTGCTATGCAACTGACATCAACATTGTATCAGAACCCTGCCATCCTGCAGACAACCTCTATAACAGCAGTTGAAGGTAATTATTCCAACTTGCAGACTATGATATATTTAACACTTGACTTTTTACTGTTTAGTGGAAATTTTAAAGAAACACGCGAATACGAAGGTAAAGTCGCCGAATGACGAAGGTGATCTGATCAGGACGATAAACAACGGATCTTAGCTATGATGGCGAAATGCATTATTTCAGTTTGGTGTGTTACACATAAATCATTCTTTTCTATCGTGTTAACCTAAAAAGACACTGAACTGTACCTCCTTTGAGTCCATTTCTTTGGTTTTAATTCACGGAAATGTTCTTCGTCCCTTTTCCGCCATTTTTGCATTGATGTCGTTCCCAGTTTCCCCGCATGTATATACACACTACCATTCATACTACCTACACTACCTACTACTAGTGTAGCACTACTACTGTCTGAGGGTAAATAATCATTAATCATAAGTCTAAACAAGAGAAATGATCCAAATGAAATTTTTAGATCCATAATAATATTTAAAACAAATCCGAAAGTTGTTTGAAAATCCCAGAATCGTCGCCAAATCCAGAAACATATTTTGCAAATGCAAGTAAATCGATAAAGGAATTCACAGACCATCACCAAAAGATCTGTTAAATCCAATACCAAAAATAAGACTAGAGAAGAATATCAATTTATTAGAGCAAGCCGAATGATGGTACTAATTAGAAACTTTTATATTTATGAAACTATTAGAATGATTAAAAACACAGTCAGCAAATCAGAGAAAACCTAGCTTAGTGCCAAAATCCCGTGCATGCGGTGCTCTCTTCCACTAGTTGCAGGCATAATCTATTTCAGGAGCCCTCCCGGCTATTTTTAAGAGCTTATGAAAATGTTCATACTTATTTAGCTAAATGTATACATTCAGTGAGTCTTCAGTGTACTGGTTCATTACATAAACATCAAGACTTCTTTCGTGCTTCTTACTTTTGTGGTTATGACCTTGGTTCGTGATTATCACGATGCCAAATCTTGACACCATCACATCACACTTCCATAACTGGTCAAGACCATGACTGACAGTATGAAAATAACTGGAATACTAGATTACGTTTTCATTGAATTAAGTCAATTAACGTGAAAATTATTCTGCCACAGAGAGCCTGTGTACTGTGTGTTTCTTTTCAGGTCACGGTCTCATATTTAGTAGCAGAGCTTGTCTTTTTCAGGGACAGAACTAGAGTCAACAGTCGTTGTGGGGTCCTCTAACAATATTTTGTTTGGCTCTGCTTTTTTCCCCCTTAGACATTAATTCATAAGATCAATGCAGATCGGTGGGGAAAATCCCTCTCCCGGAATAATAAGATAACGTGGTGCTCAGGGGGCTACCATTTTTGGTGATGACTTGTGACTCGCTCACTCGGATCGAAATCGGATCAGTGATGTGGCTAATCGGAAAATGTTCGCCTTTTTCCGAAGAAATTTTATGACGTCACTGTCGAAGCAGCTGGAACATGGAGAGCATCGAATGACTTGAAAATAAAGAGTAAGATATTTGCTAGCATGTCCTCAACATAGCCACTTCAGCCAGGTACTTGTATGCTGTATACACTGCAGACAGAGGTGCAATATTCATCTAGTTTTATCCAGGGTCGGCTTCACAGAATTTTGAGCGTCGGATCGGAAGGAAGCTTGAGGGAAGGTAGGAAGGACGAGACCGTTACAATTTTTGTCGTCTGGGATAGTCCCAGGCTCGGTTCAAACTCAATCGATCCACAAATGGTCTGGTCATTCATGCATTTGTCACATGTTTAACGTGTTGTGTATATTTCCGATCGATTTTTACAAGGGATCAGATCAGTTAACCTCACGTTGGGAGCGGTTTCGGATCATCCCAAATAATGTTATGCAACGAGCTCAAGTTACGCTGAGTTATGAAAGGACTCCGATTATGACATCAGTTCTTTCTCTCTTGTCAGTTCATTTTATTTAATCATCCAAGTTGGTCTTGCCTACTGAGGAAGAAGAAAAGCGTTTATTTGTAAGAGGGTTTTGTTTAAAGAGGATTTCTAATGGCCCTGATCTACCCTGATACCTCCTTTTGTGAGCAAAGCTCCCGACTGCTAGAAAGTTTGAACGGAGCAAAGCCTACGATGGCCTTGGAAGACGAACTAAACCAGGAAAATATACAAGAATTACTCAAACTGCTCTGTTATATCAAGAATAATTCTAACGAGGCGCAAGTGGAGAGCTGCATGAGTTTACTAGCCGAGGTTCTAGATGACGAAGAAGTTGAAGTGGATTCAGAGCCTCTTGAAAGAGAGCAAGCTCACAGGACAATAATGTCTGCAATGCAAGATTTTAACACCAACCGCAAAATTCAACTAGACGGCTGTTATGCGCTTTCCAGACTTGTGTTGCTTAGTCCAAAAGTAAGATCCGAACTGCAGAAGAAACAGGCTCAACGATTTATTTTGAAAATGATGGGAAGGCACCCTGACAACATGTGCCAAGTTGTAGGCTGTAAATTATTGTCTGCTCTGTGCACTTCTTCTACGACAAGAAGCGATGCTGTCGATAATGGAGCTATCGATACAGTTCTTTCAGCAATGAGCCATTTTGGCGAGGACGAGGAGTTTTATATTCCCGCGTTTGAAGCTTTGACACGGTTACTGTCAGACGATCCGATTGCACAGACAGACTTCATAAGCATGGACGTGAAAGATGTACGGAAAAAGTATCGTATGGTGGTAGAAATCATGGAGAAACACGCTAAATCAGGTTAGCCAGCAAGTGTTTATGTTCCTTGTTTTCTTGGCAAACAAAAAGTAAGAGATGGATTTGTTTTTAACTTATTATTAACATATCTTTTTACATTATTTTACATGTACTGTAGGTAAATAAAAAGCAAGGCAATAATTGCTTTGCTTTTTACCTTCTATAGGGCCCGTTCCAAACGCTGCTCCATTCATGCGCCGAACCTAACTGACGAGTTAAGTACGGCAGAAGAGCGGCGTTTGAATCACTTTGGTTCGGCAGGTTAAGTTTGGTGTGGCAAACAACATTAAATTTGGCAGGGTCTGTCATACTATGCAACATTGGAGCAGCAGCTGATTCATACGGCGTTCTCCTCATGTGTCGAACCTAATGCATAAAGTACTGCAATTTATTTTTCATATAACAGGACTCGTGATTGGCTCAAAATTGAGTGGCGTGACCAGTCATGCCTGAAGCTCAAAGTCGTCGCTAAAAATAAAGACAACAAAATACCAGTATGCCTTTGATTTATGTCGCTCTAAAGTCGAACTTAATCAAGTTTGGTTCGGCAAATGAGTGGAACGGTGTTTGGAGTGGCGTTTGGACTGGGCCTAAGGTCATGAAAAAGATATTTTGTTACTAAGTCAGTATGACCTACCCAACATCAGTTCCTTTATGTGTTTTATTTTTTCTCTATTTTTAGATTTTTACTCTCATCATGTCTTTCCTTACATTATATAATAATAGCCACATGCATAATTGACTTATTTTTTATAATATCTTACATATCACTTGAAGTTTTCACTTCTTTTTAAAGGTATGACATGACCTTACATTGCAGAAATAACTTTTTATCGTCGCACATATCATATGCTTTGCTTTCGCCTGGAGAGTGTGATATGTTATTGGCTTGACTTTGTTTAGAAGCTTGGTTGTATGAATTTAATTTCCTCACGTCCATCTTCAGAGTGTGGACAAGTCACTGTATTATCAACTAAATTCATCATTTGCCATAATGTACATGACCTTTGGTAGCATTGAAGATCATGTTACCCATATGGTGAAATTCTATAATAATTATGATACAAGATGAAAGCTGCACCCATCAGTGACTGTGGGCGCTTCCTAGGAGTGTGATCAAAATGATTTTGGATGACTTTTGAATCACCCTTAGCTTAAATCGCCACATTTTGAATAAAATTAGGGTTCATATCTGGAATATAGTATGGAAGTAATATTTTCTCCACAGACTTACGAAAGTGTTCCCATTGAGCTTTTAAGTTCAAGTTTCAGGAAGTGTTTTTGAATTGGTTTTTGTGCTATTTGGATAGGTGAATGCTTGGTAATAGAAGGGCATCATCAACTGCATAATGGTGCATTAAGCATAGGATTGCAAGTGATTTTCATCAAGTTCTTGATCTACTAAAATTTCCATAGGTTGTTAATGGCTTTCCATTTAGTTGCTTTTGAACTCTTTCTTATTGTCCAAGAAGACTCTTGTCACAATTCTACCCAAATCAAAAGTCTTCAATGGCATATTTTCTTCCCAATACTTCTTTATTTGAGATTCAGCAGTTCAAATTGCCACTCAAATAAATTACAATAACGCTTAGTTATAGCTTTACCCTGATTGCACCCATCAAGATGTATGTGTACTGAAGGAATTTCTTTGTGGCATAGTGAACATTCTCACCAATATGCCATATTTGTTTTCTTTGTGTTGATATGGAAATACCATACAGTGAAGGCTCATGTGGGGAAATTTCATTAACCCATCGACTCCCGGAGCTTTTTGCCAAAAATGCATGTTTTGGACATTGTAGAGAATTTCAGCCTGGGTATGGGCCAAATTAGCTCCAATCTTCTCAAAAAGTCTTTTGCAACAAGACAGTATGCCTTTCTTTCCACTAGTACTGCGTTTTACGATATGTTTGCTTGGGCATGCACAATACGTCTTTAGGCTTTTTGTTTTTTTTTTCAACTTTTTTTGCCTTGCCTTTTTCTCCTTTTCTTATCTTTTTGCAGCAGTGATTGACCTTCCACTGGGATAGCTTCCAGTTCAAAACTTTCTGAGAAAGCATCATTGAGACAGGCAATTTTTACCATAGGGTAGCTAAGTGTAGTCGCAGGAAATTTTGCTGCAGGTTTTTCACTCAAATTTTGAAGCATTTCCGTGGATATTTTAGGCTCCATTCAGCCAGTCATTCTGATCTGGGTATCATTGGAAAGATTGTTTCCTCCTGCAGAACTTGAGTTTAGAGGATGCCAATTTTGGTCAAAGGTGATGACGTCAGAAGTAGAACAAAGGCCAACCCTCATCATGGCAGGTCATGTGTGGCATGAAAGTCAATGGGTTGAAGAGGTTAATTTCTTTTGCATTTGAAAAGTCTCCCCACATTAGCCTCAGTTGTAAGCTAGTTCCAGTCCAATACCGAGAATACGAAAATGGTCTGTTGCTGAAGGACATATGTTTTCACTTTTACTGCTCTGTCCATAATGCAGGGTTTTCACATTTAGCCGGCGCCTGGCGCAAATCACCGGCTACTTCAAGCAGTTGCGTTGGGTACTTTTTGCATTCCAAATTTTATTACCAGTAATACACAATTCTGTTTCACTAAATGTAATTGCAATCTGATATTTTTGAGGAAATAAATAAACACTAACAGAGGGAAAAAAAACATTGCAGCTATTATTTTAGAATTAGAGTTAACAAATATTACATGTTGTTCCAGTTCTGAAAGCAATGATAGAACAATCCGCGTAGGCTGAATTGACCAGAGTATCCATGGCTGTAGCCACATTCGCATGGTGAATGCTAAGGCAGTCTTCCTCCTGAAATGTTACTCGTTAGGGTCTTGACTGCACCAGATGTATTTTCAACAAAAGATTGAAAGAAGTCTTAGCAATAAAACCTTCAACAATGTGAGTGTTGAGAATGTCAGACAAACGAAACTGTGAATTGCCACAAATCGATGTAGAAATGAAACAAGACCGCTGACTTTGTTGTGATAATTCATGTTTGTAAAAGGAAGTATTACGTTAATTCCATTGATTCGTCGCAGCTCTCTTTTGTTATGAAAGCAAAAACAATCTTGGGATGGATGCATTTTGGGGGATTGAAACTAAGTGTTTTTCTCTAAAAGTGAATTCAAGGAAATTATATTCATTTTGTAAACTTCACTGGTATTAGGGTGTAAAGAATAAACAGAAAAACTTGACACATCTACTCACTGCTTTTGTTCGATGCACCAGGCATGGAAGGGTCTCGTATACCCAGTACATCAGATGCTAAAACTCTGAAAGCAACTAATTTCACAAAGTTTTTTCACACTAACCCTCGTCAATATGTGTACAGTGGCCTTCAACAAAATCAGTTATGGGTGCAAAAAATGCACTGGAATAAACTTCAAGGCACCCTGACTTTCAAAATTTTCCAGGGTGAGCGCTCCATTTACCTGTGCAGAAGGGGGGTGTTCCTCTCTAGCACCCTCCTCCACAAGGCTGCCGTTATCACAATGAGATAGTGTTCCGGCTACTTTACAATTTCCTCCTGCAACTTTTTTACAATTTGAAAACCCTGTAATGATTTATCGTGCTGGTCAGAAGCCATTTTCCTCCATTCGCTGTTTATCTCTCTATAAATTCAGGGGTAGATTTCGTATCCTCTCAATGTGCATGCTGACTTTTATTTGACTTCTATTCCCGTTTCGGTCAGCACGTTGCTGTTCATATCAAATGTTTTGTTTTCTGGACTCAACTAGACCTCTCTATACCCTGTGTTGCTTTTTTCTTTCAATAGACCCTTGGAAAATGACCCTTAGACTTTGTATTTGGCAGATGAGTAAAGCCATTGAGAAAGGCTTTTGGATTAGTTCATAGTAACCCTAGAAACCTGGAAGAGTAGTCTCTACTTATAATCCGTGTATCTCCTACACGCAATACAGGGTAGGAAAAACAAAATGGAAATTGGGCCAGTAAATTTCAGTTTTCCCTTGCCCCCACTTAAATAGTGGCAGCCAGTAAGGAAATCAGAGGATAAACTCAAACAAAGAATGCTTGGAGTCCTAACTAGTCCATGCGTAACTAATCTTACAGTCTTCTGACTGGAAATTATCATTTATCAAGCTGACATTTTGTTCATACTCACAAGACTACTGAGGCTAATTTCACTTGTGCACTGGGCCACTAAACTTCTATTTTCACTTGCCCAAGAGCAAAAATCAGATCTGGGGTTTTTCCTACCCTGCAATAGACCTTTACTGCATTCCAACATGCAATGGCACCAAGTCAAGGTTAGGGTTGACAAAAATACAGCAAACATACGAAAAAATATACCTCAATCTTGCCCTGCTACTATTATTCAAATGCACTGAAGTGGAATGCTGGAAAGTGGTGTGGTATGGACTCCTAGTTGCTCATGCTATGAAATCCAGGATAAACACTGACTGTGTGGGCCTGTTTGGTCCAAGTGCTTTCCAGTTACATTCTTGTCTATGACACTGGTGTCGTATTTCTTGTTTTAAGTTTTTATTGCATGTAGATTCTTCTTCTTCATGTTTTTTTTATTTCTTTTTTTTATATAAAAGGAGAGATTCAAGAGCAAGGTATACAGTTGATGTGTGTTTTGGCATCTTCAGAACAAAACTGCTGTACTCTTGTTCGTGGGAGAACATTTATTGTTGCATTAGAAGCAATGAAGAAACATTGTGATTGCCCTGGGGTGCAAGCAGCTGGGTGCCAACTCCTGGTACTTCTGGCAGACTTGGAGTCTCACAGGGAGATTTTAGTTCAACAGAACATTGTCCTAGTTGTAATTCTCCATGCGTTACAGAATTTTAAGGATTGCGTTGACATTCAGAAAAGTGGCTTGACTGCATTAGCCCTGCTCACGGAGGCACTTGAGAAAAAGCTGCAACACGGTAAGTAGCATACAACATTGTGGAATCAAAGTCCAGTCAAAAATACATGTGATTCTTCTGGACCTAGACTTTGCTTAGAGTGTTCAGTTTTAACTGCAAGCATTCTGAGTGGAGCCAAAGGAAAATTATCAAGTACATGTACATGCAGCATTGAATAGTGTCTCGCAGTTTCTAAAAATAGATTACATCACCAGAGACCCCCCACATGACTCAGACAAGAATCCTTGAATACGATAGAACAAGATGACATTAGTATTATCCCTGAGACAATTCCACATTGATAGCAGACTTAGATGTACTGTGCAATTCGAAGGACCTAGATTTTAATAGAGCCATTTATCTGACCACATAAGCAAATCTGTGACTGTGAGCAGACCTTAACTGCATATTGATATGTTCAGGCGCTACATGTGACATAGATAGCGCGGGCTAAAACTGTTTTTCAGGTTTTTTATATGCGAAGACAGAGCTGGCCAGTTTCATCAAGGCAAGGCAACAAATTGGATGGGATCTACTGTATTTCTTCATGGTATTTCTTTGCTGGCTTGCTGGCTTGCTGGCTTTGTTGTGGGTGATACATCTGAATGTCGGGTACAATAATACTATTTTTTTTCTGCTACGGAGGTATTCATAAACAGCCTTCATACATGAGAAGCCCATCATATACGTCACTTGTGCGCAACGCTATTAAAGAAGGGGGCAAGTGCAGGTTCAGAATTTGTGCTTTATTTGTACTGCATTTGACATGCCCACAACAATTTTGCTGTTGCAATTATCCAAAATTGTCAGCTCAATGTATTACAGTAACTTTATTCATTTTTAAAAGTTATGGTGGTCCTTGTTAGGCATAAGCAATATTAAGGAGTTACATGTAAATTAATTCACAAAGCCATATCATGTCCTGTTTACAAATCCTCAGAAAGAAGAACATTATGTACTATATAGTTCTTTTTCAAGGATTAAAGTTAGTGGCTAAACAAGAGGCATATTACACCCCTCAACTGAGATATTTATGGTTTTTCTTAGAAATACAGAATTGCATGTGGACGAGAGAGGTTTTCACTGCCATGACAAGCCATTATGACAACCCAGAAGTCTTACATGCTGCTTGTCATGCCCTGCAAGAGTTGATTGATGTTTGTCCTGATGTGTTGGACGAAATGGGTGATGAGCCTGGTGATAGCACCATTCCTTTACACAGCTGCAGTATGGCTGCCTTGGTGTTACACATGGATGATCCAGAGCTATGCGAGTCATCATGTAGAGTCTTAGCTTCCATTGTCAATAACTCTAGCTCTCTAAGGGAGGTAATAATGCAGAGTGTTTTTATAGAACAACAACGCCTGTTTATCTACCTGTTTTGACGAGTATAATTTTCAATTTAGTTAATGTAAGTTATAACATAGTTTAGCAGTGTCATACAATCAATTTCAGTATGCATCGTAGTGAATAGATTTGTCAGAAAAATTATCTTAATGCTTGTGCTGGTTTTGATGTACATTTCCATTTTCATGCTACTTTTAGCTGTGCACTATCAAATTATGGCGTGTAAAGTTTGGAGAGCACTCAAGATGCTAGAGTTGCGCTCAGTTATAGTCTTGAGCAACTCTTTCATTTCTTTCATATGCTTCAAAAATATTCCTGCATGCACCATACCTTAGGCCTCACACCGCATTTTTTAACTACTCAAGCAGGCCAAAAGACATGGAAACTGGAGGGTTCATTTTTAAACCTCAATGTTTAGCTTCTTGCATGAATGTCTCATTAGAGAAAAATCTTCACATTGAGTTACTACATGTATTGTTTGGCACTCAGATGTTTATTTCTGTTACGATAACATTTACATGTATTTTTCAGAATTTGATATCCAAAGGATTACACTTGAACATTGTCCATGCAATGAAGCAACACAAATGGAAAGCTGAAGTTCAACAGTGGGGCTGCAGAGCACTGCGAGGATTGTCATTGTCTGGGTGTGGTCACAAAGAACTCTTGGTTAACTGTGGTGTTTTAGAGCTCATCTTCAATTGTGCTCAAAGGTAAGCAATTGATGGCAATCTTAGCAAGAGTAATGACTTATAGCTTCATTGTATAACAATCGTACATCTAAAGAAATGAACTGGTAATGCTTTCACAAGTTAATGAGAAGTCTTGTGATTTTGCAGGTTTGGAGACCATGTTGGTGTCCAAGAAGAAGCAATAGCACTAATTGCTTGCTTGGCAACTGATGTTGAGCTTGTCTGGCACCAAAGTGCTGTTGAGGGTGTTCATTGTATGATTTTGAATGCCATGGACAATTTTCCAGACCAGATATCCCTGGCAGAGATCTCATTAGAGGCTTTGGGTAAGTACTTACCTGAAAAATATTATGGCTTGTTGGGGAGGGGGATTGTTTAAATGCTTTTAACATTTTTCTAAAATTCGTTTGCAACTGGAATTGGTCGATGTTTTCGAATTTCTGGTGGTCAAAGAATAATTTTGTAATTTTCTTGACCAGTATGGTTTCATTAGCTATGACTGATGTTCACTCGTGAATTCAAAACTACTCTTGTACACCTTAACATGCACAAAGAAAAGAACTTTCATTATGAACAGCGGAGTGTGGAGGAACAGTGGCCTCATGGTTAGTGAACTTGTCTCTGGATCGAGCAGTCCAGGTTTGAGCCCTGGTCAGGGACATTGTGTTGTGTTCCTGAGCAAGACCCTTAACTTGCACAGTGCCTCTCTCTAGCCAGGTGTATAAATGGGTAGCGGCGATTTAATGCTGGGGGTAACCCTGCAATAGACTAGCATCCCATCCAGGGAGGAGCAGAAATAATCCTAGTCAGTTCATGGTACAGACACTGGGATAAGCTCTGGCCTGATGGGCCACTTGGCTCGTATGCAGACTTTACCTATGAACCACTGAGGGAGTTAACAATTGTTACTAATTGAAGGAAAACTTGGTGACAATGCTCTCATCCCAGGGAAGGGCACAATTTATACATAAAATTTAAGTAGTACCTGCCTGGTATTTGTGGTAGATTACCCCAGCCAACCCCAACCGTAAATTAACTCAAAGGAGAAAACAAAAAAAAAACTCACCAAATTATAAATTGCTGCCTCAGCAGAAATGCCTCACGTGTTTTCCTGACATAATCATAATCATCTGAGCTAGACCGACAAACATGATTGGCGAAAAAACATCAACTACAGGAGCAAACAAGCAAGGACACATTCTTGGCACTTCATCACTTGTATTCTGAAGAAAACGCTTGGGAGGTTTTTTCCTACATCAGTGATTAATGTACTTTCTCTTTCCCGACTTATCAGGTGTGCTTGCTGCTGCTGAAGAAATTCCAGATCTTTTAGTCTCTAAAAGTTCAGATCATGGTGGTGTGGATACCATTTTTAATGCGATGAGCAGGCACCTAACAGAACCTGCAATACTTCAGAAAGGATGCATTCTTATTCAGGTGCTGGCACCTTTGTTGTCAGATGATCATTGTCAAAGGGCAGTGTCAAGTGTCATTCAGGCCATGTGCGAGGCTAAGGAAGATAGAGGTGTTCAAGCAGAAGGCTGCGCAGCCATGCTGGTCATTGCTCAAATAGATGAAGGGAAGAGTACAATTTTGGTGAACAATTGTGCACACGAAAGACTTTTTTACATTTTGGAAAACTTTTCTGAAGAACCAGAGCTTGTGTTTTTATCCAGCGAATGCATTCGGTATCTTGGCTGGGAACGGAATCTGAAAACACAGATGTTGCTGTCGGCATGTGCTGGAGGCCTTCTCAAAGGAGCTGACTGTCTGATAAAGAAGGGTGCAGATGTCAATGCTGGTCATGGCGAGAACACACCACTTTGCCGTGCTTGCCAGAACGGCAAGGAAGAAATGGTCAAGTTCCTTCTCACTCAAGGAATCACAGACATTCAGAGTTCACTAAGGGTTTCTCTTGAGATGGGTTATAGCAACATTGTGGGACTGCTTCTGCAGCATCTTGGCCATGACAAAGAAGCTGGTATCATTGCATTCAGCAACCTTAATTTGGGTAATTTGCTCCCGCAGTGGATGTCGCCTTCTCTAGCTGGTAGTAAGTACTCTCCACCAGTCCTTAGTACTGGCTGGACTGAATTCCTGGACGATGCGGAGAGAACAACGCAACTAAGAGCAACTCTAAGTAATCGCCTTAGAAGAAAAGGGAGTGAACCAATCTTAAACAAGCCTTTGGATGGTAGCTTAACTGGGTGGCAGGCGGACAAAGCAAGTGTCCCTTCTAGCATAGATACATTAGTGGGCCTGGAGCATGAGTCAGACAATGATTCTGATTCCGACTCTGACATTGATATGAATGTTCCAGAATTAACTGAAAAATCAGCATTGCGGGCACGTAGCGTCAGTGGAGCTTCCTTCCCCTACAGCTCACATGATCCTCGTGTTGTGTCTCCCTTTTCAGACAGGAACTGCGTTATTTTACCCAGGAGTGCTCACAGCAGGTCATTTGATGAGTACCTGCCAGAATGTAGGCGGCCCATGCTGAAGAGGCGTGCACGCAGTGACATAATTCCTCCGGTCAACAGTGTAGATGCCTCTTCTTATTCTACAAAGGTATCGCCACTGCCATATACCGACTCTGAACAGATTGGCAGAATAACAGAACCCGAAGAAGACGTGCCTGGTGTGTTTGAAATGCCCAACAATAGCTACGTGTACAACTGGGATCCTCAGCAGGGTTACCGAGTACGGTCCCTGAGTACATGCAGTGATGAGTTTGACAGTGGGAGATTCTTTGGCCAATGTGCAGACAGAAGAAGGTCAAGGACTTGCGAGCCCTTTGAAGCAAAAAGAAAGCGAAAGCAGTCAATCAGAGCTATCTCTGCCAAGGCAACAGTGCGATTGATTGATGCTTCAAGCAACAACATCTTGAGCCTGGAGCCACTTGCAGAAGCCTCTCCACTTCTCCTTGCATATCTGGCTAAAGTCGAGAAGCTTGACCTGAGTCATAACCACTTGTCAAAATTTCCGTCTTTGCTTTGTGATGCTATGCCGCAATTGCGATATGTGAATCTGAGTCACAACGAGTTTTCGAGTTTTCCTTACTGCTTTATCCAGACAGGGGTGAAAGTCTTAAACTTGTCACACAACAAGATAAAGATGGCCCGGCCTCGACATCCTGGAGATAGCAATGTTATGCTTGAGAACTTGAACTTGTCACACAATGAGGAAAGCTGTTTCCCTGAGTGGTTGGGAGATATATTTCCGGCATTAACAAGTCTGTATGTGGTGGACAATAACATGACAAAGCTGCCGGATTCTGCTTTGAAACTACGGCGACTGAAAACTCTCGACTTGTCAAACAATCAGCTCTCGGAGATTCCTCGTGAATTCGTTTCAGAATGTCTTTCTCTTGAAACTCTTGTGGCTTCAAACAACAACTTCACAACGTTGCCAGAGATTGTGGCGCCGTCCTTGACAAATTTGAAAACGGTTCGGTTAAACAAGAATAAACTTGGGGGGCAGTCTTCAAAGAAACAATTTTCATTCCCGCGATTTCTTCTCAAACTCCCCAATGTGAAAGTTGTGGATCTTTCAAGTAACAATCTGGAGGACATCCCACCTCCTATTTCCTGGTCTACACAGCAGCTGAAAGAGCTCGTTCTTGCTGACAACAAGATTAAAAAGCTCTCCTTGGAGGGTGCAGAGAAGTGGGCATACCTCGAAAGGCTGAATTTAAGCGACAACTGTCTGAAGTCAGTGCCGGGTAGAATTGGTGAATTAAAATCACTGACCTCCCTTAATTTGAGCCGCAACACTGGTATCACACACTTGCCGGATGAGATGGGAAGATTGTCCAGTCTGTGGGACCTGCAGTTGGTTGGCCTCAAGCTTGATCTGGACTCAGCTATTCTAGAAAGCAGAGCTCAGGAACTCATAGGATTCCTGCACTCCAGGCTCAAGAATTCCGTGCCTTATTATCGTATGAAGTTGGTTGCTGTTGGCCAGGCAGGACGAGGAAAGACGACATTGTTGAACCAGCTACAGGAAGATATTGCTTCAGGACCACACCATGATGTAATGGCGAGAGAATGGTGTGTCAGAGATACAAAAGCTGAGTGCAAAGTGTGCCACCGCAAGAGCGTGAACTATGTCATCAACACATGGGATCTCAAAGGACGTGATGACTTGTACAGCGCTTATCAGTGCCTCCTGTCATCAAGGACATTGTTTCTGGCAGTCTATGATGTGAGCAAAGGCACCAGTGAGATCGATTCTCTTAAGCCCTGGCTCCTCAACATACATGCCTGCGCACCAGAGGCGTCAGTCATGCTTGTGGGTACTCATAAGGATAAGGTGCCAAAGGACCAGGTCACCGAGTTGCTAAATGAGATCAAGGTAAGGGCCCTTAGCATGTGTGCTGGTGCTGGCTTGCCCCAGGTCAAGAGCCACGTGGTACTTGACTGCACTCAAGAAACATCAGGAGTGCAGTCCCTCCGTCATCGGATCATGCAGCTCATCCCAAAATGCAAGTGCAAAGGCCATTCGTTGATTGGCCCGAGAGTGCCACAGAACTTTGTGCGACTACAAGACTTGATTTTGCATCTTGTCCACGCCAGAGGACATGAACCACCAAGAATCTTGAAAATGGCCAGCATCCGAAAGCTCATTCAGGACAATGAATTACTCATGGATGATACTGAGCTTGAACAAGCCATTAGGTTCATGAGTGAAGCAGGTAAGGTTCCCTCACTGTTTGCCCTTATATAATATACAGTCTACTTTCCACTAACGGTTATTTCTCACTCCATAACGGCAAGGATTTCATGTCCCAGCGACGTACACATAGTGTCAAAAGACTGCCTCGAAAATGAAGGCCAACCGTCAAAATACAAATCAAAGTTCTTAGAATTCTCATTGCTCTTCTAGTCTCTCTTAGCCGGCAGTCAGGAATTTCTCTCTTAGGAAAGTGTTTCTCAGAAGCACTTAACAGCAATAAGCGTAGTCCTTTAACCAAACTCCTTGATCTTTTTTCTCACTTTCAGGAGTCCTCATCCATGTTGATCATCCAGCTTGCCAGTTGGACGATCTCCTTTTTGTTGATCCCCTGTGGGTGTTCCATTTGTTTGCTCATTTGGTGACAAGAAAAGACAGTAAGAACACCAATGGCATCCTTGGTTTGGAGGATCTCGAGAAATTGGTCAGAGATGGAAGTTGTGTAGTTAACCTGACTCCCGATCTCATGCCACAGATACTAAAGTAAGCTCCATGTTCCCTGGTACATAACTGCCTTCGTTCTTACTGTTTCCCGTCCTCTCTCTATTTTTAAACGATGCATTATTTTACGGACATAGATGAAGAGTCATTGCCCGACACCTTTCATGGGTCAAAACATGATAGAAGGTTTCTTTTATATGATTCGTTTGATCTACGAGAAGTAGAGTTTTAAAATGTCTTGATCACTCTTTCAAGGCATCCCTCTGTTCGACAGTTTGGCATCGTCCTTACCCGCCGTTTTTGGGACGTTCGAATGTGTTACGCATCTCATCAGGCATTGACATTTTATATACAGTTTTTGTACAGCACAGTGAGACTAACTAGCAAGCATTCGATTTCTGCTTTCTTTAATTATGCCAGGTTGAAGTTAGAGAAACGAATTAGCAGTAAAATAGCTTTGCACGTTGGACAGGTTCTCAATTGAGTGTCGAAAGTAATCACGACAGGCAATTTCTTTGGTTTTGGTTTTGATTGTGCTACGGTTTGAGACTGGCTGAATAGCCACCTTGGTACGTAATTGGCTTGGGTTTGGTTTTACGACACTCAATTGAAAACCTCTCTATAAGTGTTACTGCTCATTTTACACGCTTGCAGATGTTACACAATGTGGATAATTTTACAAGCTTGTAGATGTTGTACAGCTGTTTACATGACATCCGATACACTACTTTACAAATAAAATAAAAAATATCCTTAATTACAGTGCAATGGAAGGACAAAAAAGAATTCATGTAGAAGACAGTTTGAACTTGATACTAGTGAAGTTTTTCTTCCTTACAGGCTGCTTGAACACTACTGCATTGTTCTCCCACTGAGAGACGACAAGTACCTTTTGCCATCTTTGCTCAGCAATAAACAACCCTCAATCAAGATTCCAAACCCGGGACGTAATGTGTTCGTGAGCCGCGAGTACAACCTGGCTTATCTACCCCCCAGTTTCTGGCCGCGCCTTATTGCAAGAGTCCAGACTTTCGTGGTGGACTTGTATATGGACCACAGGGTCCACTTGGAGAGCCCGCGTGAACCACAGGTCCAACAGTGGAATGAAGGTGTCTTCGTCTACTGGACAGAGCAGGCATTCTTTGTCATATCGCACGGTTTGACCAATCCCTGTGCGGACACTGTGGTGATTACAACGCCAAGTACAAAGCATGGAGCAAGAATTCTCGCACACGTGGTTGATCATTTGGACACGCTGCTGGAGGAATGGTTTCCAGACTTGTGTAAGTGTTACACTTACTTGTATATACTATGATCCATCTCAATAAGCTGCGCACTATTCCAGGAAGAAGCCCTGACAAAAGCTCACATATGCAATGTAGTTTAAGGCGGTATGGGGACGAAGAAGCGATACAGTTTCTGATGGAGCTACAAAAACACTAGTTCTGAATATTGAAAGGGAACAGCGCGATAACCTCTGCAATGCCAATGAATTTGAGCCCGATGATTGAATACTTTTAAGCTACGCAGGTTAAAAATCTCAAGATTTTACAAAGAATGTATGAGCTCATTAGCGCTTTTGCCTCCCAGAAATTTTGCACTTTTTGAAACCTATTTCTCCTCGAATATTACACCCAAAAAGCTAAACATGTCACCAGTTGCTAAGTTTCAGAAGCTCTTTAAATGTTTGTAGTCTATTCGTTTCTAGCGTGATGCCTTCTATGCGCAAAGTCTTATGTTCATGAGGAAAAATTGTAAACAATTACATTAACTAAGATTCGCCTATTAAGATAAGATACGAACCTTTACTTAAGTGTCAAATGTATTTGGCCCGAGCGGACTAATTGGGACACTAAACAAGGGCCTTAAGTACTAAAAAGAAAATGCTAAAATTGACGTGTGAATCTGTTATGTTTAGGGGGAGTGGATCCACAGGAAGGGCTACCTCTTGTCAAGAAGCAGGCTGTTTGTCCTGTGTGCAAGGGAGAAGACACTCATACTTTCGCCCTTGACACCATAGCTAGGGCGAGTGACAATGAATACATCATGTGCCCCAACACGAAACTGCTGGTGTCGCTGCGTCAGATAGCGCCTGATGTGGTCCTGGAAGATGTCGGTGAACAGTTCAAAATTGAAGAGAGTAAACTGGTGCTGGATACAACGCGTACCTCACTGCTTGGAGACGGCAGCTATGGCGCGGTGTACAGGGCTCTCTATGATGGAAAGTCTGTTGCCGCCAAGGTTTGTGACTGTGCTGCTTTCAACTTTGTTACTATAAGCGGTAAAATGTAAATTATAATATTTTATTTATTTAAGTTATAATATTTAGAGAGGAAGCCACTTCAGCCCCAGCTGGTTTCCGCGCGGGTCCTCTATCCTGATCGGATTGGAATTTGAAAATGTTGGTTTTTAGGAGGGACGAAAACCGGAAAACCGAGAGAAAAACCCTCGGAGCAAGGCGAGAACCAACAGCAAACCCAACGCTTATATGACACCAGGCAGGAATCGAACCAGGGCAACATGGGTGGGAGGCGAGTGCTTTCACCACTGTGTCGTCCCTGCTCCCCATTTAGACTTTTCGGCTTCACAACAACCTTTTAGCTAATGTTAGACCGTGATGTTTTTGTATAGGTGTTTCATTCCGGAAATGAGTGCAATCCTCACACGTCACTTCGACAGGAAGTCATGTTCCTACGGAAGCTGCGCCATCTGAGTGTTATTACCATGGTGGGCGTTTGTGTGAAGCCGTGGTCTCTTATAATGGAGCTGGCTCCACTGGGATCACTGAGTACGCTCCTAAACAGAGGGCAGGCGCTCAGCAAAGGAATCCAGCACAGAATTGCCTTACAGGTGAGAAGAGAGCCTTTCGTACAATGTTCAACGTATAAAATTGGGAGTCAGTAAGTCAGTAACCCAAAGTGACGAATGAGTTATCAGTTTCGGTGGGATCCTCATTGTAGGTAATATCATGAACCTGGGATATTATTGTCGCTAAGTAACGTGACGTATCTGTGTGATGCTATTCTGATGTAAAGCCTTTCTGATTAGACCGAACTCTTTGTTTATTTTGATGTTGGTAAGGGGTTTTCCAAAATGTCAAGTGTTAACCTGACTGCATACGGAGATCAGAAAAAGGCCTCCTATGGAAAGAGCCAAAGTTGCATGGATTCGTAATACTGCCTGTCTTTATGAACACACGTTAAGCTATTTGTTGTGAAATTATTCAACTAAAACACTTGCTTATTAGTCTTTTGGCGACTGGTGGTCTTAATCTGGGCTCTGCGTATTTTTTTATTGCAGGTTGCAGAAGGCCTCACATTCTTACACCATCACATGATCGTGTACCGTGATCTAAAACCCCACAACATCCTTATCTTCTCCCTTTCTCTCACAAACTTGATCAACGCCAAGATATCTGATTACGGCATCGCTCGGTATGCCACTCGTTGCGGTCTGACCGCCACTGAAGGTACGCCGGGCTATCGAGCACCCGAAATTGCTCGCGGAGACATCGCCTACAACATGGAAGTCGATATGTATTCGTTTGGCATGTTCCTGTACGAGCTCGTGACTGGAGGAACCAAGCCGTTTGAAGACTTGCGTTTCCGCCACGAGCTGGATGCAGCCGTGTTGAAAGGACGGGCCTTAGATCCTATCACGTCATCAGACTGCCCTCCCTGGCCAGACATGGCGGATCTTATTGCGCATGCTCTTGAGCCTCAGCCGCATAGAAGAGCTACCGCTGAACAGGTAACGTGAAGAGATTGTTCTTATTGTTTATTTTGAAAAGCTGTTGTTTCGCTCCTTGTTTTGCGATCAGAAAGTTCTCCATGGTCTGGGTAAAGGGGTTCAATTTATTCTGTGAATAATGGATTCAATTACTAGCATGAAAGAATTATTTTCATCTTGTCATCTGAAAAGCCGCCGACTATGCATGTCCATGCTGTATTTCCGCATCTTTCTACATCTGCTTTTGGTGCCGCTGACTAATAACGCCTTCTCTTTCAGTGGGAGAAGTGTTTTTTCAGTTTCACAGTTTTGGGAAATATTTTTGGTCTGTTGATCCTTATTTTATCTGTCTGCTCGTAAATTGATGATATTCGATCACTTTAGAAGGCAGGGAAGAAGATCAATGCTTGTAAACCCGACCTACTTTACTCACTTCTCATTTGTATTAGCAAGCTAAAACTGGCATCTTATTAGTGAACTTAATTTATTTGTTACAAAGGCGTAAGACTTCCAATTGACGTTCCCTGCTCTTTGTGACAGGCCTACTCGCGCTTGTGTGACCCCGAGCTGATCTGTTTGAAGCGTGACATTGCCGTGTCCAAGGGACAGACAGTAGAGTGCATGACCGTTCGTCACTTTGAAGAAAAAGACACACCTAAAGTGGAGGTGTGGGTGGGCAGTGGACAGTCGGATAACTTCAGTGGTCAGGTCACCATTATCGACCTGTCAGACAATGGAGTGGAGGTAGGTCGAAGCACTTCCGCGCATACCAAAGGATTTGTCGAATTTTAACACTTTTGCAAAATAACTATTGTAAATCAGCACTACAACAAAAATCTGCACTTTTACCAAATGCAGTTAGACGACCTTATGCCAATCAACTACTGGTCTGTCACAGGCGTCCTATTTCTTAAACATCGTCGAGTGTTCAGACAAAATAAAAAACCACAGCCGGAAGATTGAACGAACACGAATGCAAGGGTTGTTCGTTTTACCTCATTCTGCGCTCGTTGTCGGTCGCTAGCCACACTCGCACACACTTTTTGCTTGTGTATTATATTAAATTCAACCTCAATGTGGGCCAATTTTGGGTAGAAGCTATAAATTTTCCGAAGTTACCTTATATCCAATTTGGATCATATTGTAATTAAAATACGCAAACGTTATTGTTTCTTACGTTTTCCCAGGGCTGCACGGGCACATTTATCCGAGACAGACGGGTGAAGAGTATCGTAGCAGTGAATGACGACACCGTGTTGGCCGGCACGCAGTCTGGGAAAATCTGGGTTTTTGACGCGTGGAATCACAAGTGCCAGTTCTCCCTTCCTCAGCTTCCTGACGCGGTTCTCTGTTTGAGGCACTACAAGGATGGAGCCAATGACGTGAACGTGGACGTTGTACTGGCAGGACTCGCTAACGGTCAGTTAGCTGTTTATCACACACACAGTGTCAAGAAAGAAGATGCTCAACCCAAGTTTTTTGACCTGTGTCACAGCAAGATCATTGGAGATGCCACCTGTGAGGATTGTCAAGCCCATCCCTTGGCTTGCACGGCTGTTGGCAGAAAGAGGTTGTTCTGCGGGTGCGGTAACGAAATAGTCGTTCTCAGAATAAAGAAGAACTCGGAAATTGAGATCGAGCGTCGATGGTTTGTCGAGGACAGAGCAAAGGGACTTGTTTTGAACATCGCTGTGGGCTCAACGTTTGTTTGGATATCAACTCGTGATAGTCCGGTGATCGAGTGCTGGGATTTCTCCAAAACTAAATTCCTTGGCTCTGTTGACTGTCTGACAATTCTCAGGGACAGCGGCTACACTGGTGACTTACGCGAAACACGCGTTGTCAGCCTTCTCCTGTCGCACAAAATTCTCTGGGTAGGACTGGGCACTGGTCACGTGGTTCTCGTAGATCCTTCAACACGAAAACACTTGACCCTTATCCACCGTCACGTGTCCGCAGTGAGGTGTATGGCAGACACACGGGGTCCTACATCGCCCAAGTCTACTTCATTAGTGTTGACCGGGGGTATGGGGTTCATCGAGAGGCATGGTTGCGAGTGGAAGAGGCCTAACTCCGAGTTCGGTTATACACTTGTGTGGGAGGCAGACTTCATGGAACAGGCCAAGCATCTTGACAGCCACATACGTAGAAGGAGGGAACTGTCAAACACGTTAGGGGAAATAAAGTACAATTGAAAACAAGTCCTTCATGCCCCGCCGTGCAAGTGCATTTACAAGTCCTCGTTGTCTTGTTTTTTGATCATGATATTATAAAACTTAATAAAGTAATCAATAATAACGAATTGATTCGAAAAATATGTAGAACTTCATATCCTTTGTTGATAGCACCACTGAGTTTGTTTTGTACTAATATAAAAATGATTACAAGGTGAGAGCTTTTATTGAGTGATTGTTTTTCAGATTGCTTTTAAAGAACACTATTGTTAGGCTTTTTCATGGACATTTAAGATGAGATTTGATTACTGTGATGTAAATGTTACTGGCCAACCTTTTTTAATTTTAGGATACGAAGGTGCTGTGTAAAAAAAATCGTTTTTAGAATTAGGAAGTTGCACTTGATCATCACTGTACCAGTGGTATCAGAGTTGTGTTTTAAATGGTTGCTTTAGAGAATTGAAAATGAACCAAACTTATCTGAATTTTTCTCGGTTATAAAATAGAAAAAAAGAAGGAATGATTGGCAGAAATAATTATAGCTAAACTTGCGATGTGTAGTGAAATTGTGCAACAAAAAGCTACGGGATCCATACAAGATAGATTACCTTATTATTAAATAGGAAAAAGAAAGGAATAATTGAAATGATGAAATCAATGAAATAGTTAGAGCTCAACTTGTGTTGTGTATATGAAATTGCATAGAAAATAGTAACAAAAAAAACCTACAGGATCCATACAAAATAATAAATATTGTATAGATAAATAGACATTAAAAGATATCTATAAATTCAGTTCACGTTGAGATTCTGTTTGTACNAGAATTCATGTAGAAGACAGTTTGAACTTGATACTAGTGAAGTTTTTCTTCCTTACAGGCTGCTTGAACACTACTGCATTGTTCTCCCACTGAGAGACGACAAGTACCTTTTGCCATCTTTGCTCAGCAATAAACAACCCTCAATCAAGATTCCAAACCCGGGACGTAATGTGTTCGTGAGCCGCGAGTACAACCTGGCTTATCTACCCCCCAGTTTCTGGCCGCGCCTTATTGCAAGAGTCCAGACTTTCGTGGTGGACTTGTATATGGACCACAGGGTCCACTTGGAGAGCCCGCGTGAACCACAGGTCCAACAGTGGAATGAAGGTGTCTTCGTCTACTGGACAGAGCAGGCATTCTTTGTCATATCGCACGGTTTGACCAATCCCTGTGCGGACACTGTGGTGATTACAACGCCAAGTACAAAGCATGGAGCAAGAATTCTCGCACACGTGGTTGATCATTTGGACACGCTGCTGGAGGAATGGTTTCCAGACTTGTGTAAGTGTTACACTTACTTGTATATACTATGATCCATCTCAATAAGCTGCGCACTATTCCAGGAAGAAGCCCTGACAAAAGCTCACATATGCAATGTAGTTTAAGGCGGTATGGGGACGAAGAAGCGATACAGTTTCTGATGGAGCTACAAAAACACTAGTTCTGAATATTGAAAGGGAACAGCGCGATAACCTCTGCAATGCCAATGAATTTGAGCCCGATGATTGAATACTTTTAAGCTACGCAGGTTAAAAATCTCAAGATTTTACAAAGAATGTATGAGCTCATTAGCGCTTTTGCCTCCCAGAAATTTTGCACTTTTTGAAACCTATTTCTCCTCGAATATTACACCCAAAAAGCTAAACATGTCACCAGTTGCTAAGTTTCAGAAGCTCTTTAAATGTTTGTAGTCTATTCGTTTCTAGCGTGATGCCTTCTATGCGCAAAGTCTTATGTTCATGAGGAAAAATTGTAAACAATTACATTAACTAAGATTCGCCTATTAAGATAAGATACGAACCTTTACTTAAGTGTCAAATGTATTTGGCCCGAGCGGACTAATTGGGACACTAAACAAGGGCCTTAAGTACTAAAAAGAAAATGCTAAAATTGACGTGTGAATCTGTTATGTTTAGGGGGAGTGGATCCACAGGAAGGGCTACCTCTTGTCAAGAAGCAGGCTGTTTGTCCTGTGTGCAAGGGAGAAGACACTCATACTTTCGCCCTTGACACCATAGCTAGGGCGAGTGACAATGAATACATCATGTGCCCCAACACGAAACTGCTGGTGTCGCTGCGTCAGATAGCGCCTGATGTGGTCCTGGAAGATGTCGGTGAACAGTTCAAAATTGAAGAGAGTAAACTGGTGCTGGATACAACGCGTACCTCACTGCTTGGAGACGGCAGCTATGGCGCGGTGTACAGGGCTCTCTATGATGGAAAGTCTGTTGCCGCCAAGGTTTGTGACTGTGCTGCTTTCAACTTTGTTACTATAAGCGGTAAAATGTAAATTATAATATTTTATTTATTTAAGTTATAATATTTAGAGAGGAAGCCACTTCAGCCCCAGCTGGTTTCCGCGCGGGTCCTCTATCCTGATCGGATTGGAATTTGAAAATGTTGGTTTTTAGGAGGGACGAAAACCGGAAAACCGAGAGAAAAACCCTCGGAGCAAGGCGAGAACCAACAGCAAACCCAACGCTTATATGACACCAGGCAGGAATCGAACCAGGGCAACATGGGTGGGAGGCGAGTGCTTTCACCACTGTGTCGTCCCTGCTCCCCATTTAGACTTTTCGGCTTCACAACAACCTTTTAGCTAATGTTAGACCGTGATGTTTTTGTATAGGTGTTTCATTCCGGAAATGAGTGCAATCCTCACACGTCACTTCGACAGGAAGTCATGTTCCTACGGAAGCTGCGCCATCTGAGTGTTATTACCATGGTGGGCGTTTGTGTGAAGCCGTGGTCTCTTATAATGGAGCTGGCTCCACTGGGATCACTGAGTACGCTCCTAAACAGAGGGCAGGCGCTCAGCAAAGGAATCCAGCACAGAATTGCCTTACAGGTGAGAAGAGAGCCTTTCGTACAATGTTCAACGTATAAAATTGGGAGTCAGTAAGTCAGTAACCCAAAGTGACGAATGAGTTATCAGTTTCGGTGGGATCCTCATTGTAGGTAATATCATGAACCTGGGATATTATTGTCGCTAAGTAACGTGACGTATCTGTGTGATGCTATTCTGATGTAAAGCCTTTCTGATTAGACCGAACTCTTTGTTTATTTTGATGTTGGTAAGGGGTTTTCCAAAATGTCAAGTGTTAACCTGACTGCATACGGAGATCAGAAAAAGGCCTCCTATGGAAAGAGCCAAAGTTGCATGGATTCGTAATACTGCCTGTCTTTATGAACACACGTTAAGCTATTTGTTGTGAAATTATTCAACTAAAACACTTGCTTATTAGTCTTTTGGCGACTGGTGGTCTTAATCTGGGCTCTGCGTATTTTTTTATTGCAGGTTGCAGAAGGCCTCACATTCTTACACCATCACATGATCGTGTACCGTGATCTAAAACCCCACAACATCCTTATCTTCTCCCTTTCTCTCACAAACTTGATCAACGCCAAGATATCTGATTACGGCATCGCTCGGTATGCCACTCGTTGCGGTCTGACCGCCACTGAAGGTACGCCGGGCTATCGAGCACCCGAAATTGCTCGCGGAGACATCGCCTACAACATGGAAGTCGATATGTATTCGTTTGGCATGTTCCTGTACGAGCTCGTGACTGGAGGAACCAAGCCGTTTGAAGACTTGCGTTTCCGCCACGAGCTGGATGCAGCCGTGTTGAAAGGACGGGCCTTAGATCCTATCACGTCATCAGACTGCCCTCCCTGGCCAGACATGGCGGATCTTATTGCGCATGCTCTTGAGCCTCAGCCGCATAGAAGAGCTACCGCTGAACAGGTAACGTGAAGAGATTGTTCTTATTGTTTATTTTGAAAAGCTGTTGTTTCGCTCCTTGTTTTGCGATCAGAAAGTTCTCCATGGTCTGGGTAAAGGGGTTCAATTTATTCTGTGAATAATGGATTCAATTACTAGCATGAAAGAATTATTTTCATCTTGTCATCTGAAAAGCCGCCGACTATGCATGTCCATGCTGTATTTCCGCATCTTTCTACATCTGCTTTTGGTGCCGCTGACTAATAACGCCTTCTCTTTCAGTGGGAGAAGTGTTTTTTCAGTTTCACAGTTTTGGGAAATATTTTTGGTCTGTTGATCCTTATTTTATCTGTCTGCTCGTAAATTGATGATATTCGATCACTTTAGAAGGCAGGGAAGAAGATCAATGCTTGTAAACCCGACCTACTTTACTCACTTCTCATTTGTATTAGCAAGCTAAAACTGGCATCTTATTAGTGAACTTAATTTATTTGTTACAAAGGCGTAAGACTTCCAATTGACGTTCCCTGCTCTTTGTGACAGGCCTACTCGCGCTTGTGTGACCCCGAGCTGATCTGTTTGAAGCGTGACATTGCCGTGTCCAAGGGACAGACAGTAGAGTGCATGACCGTTCGTCACTTTGAAGAAAAAGACACACCTAAAGTGGAGGTGTGGGTGGGCAGTGGACAGTCGGATAACTTCAGTGGTCAGGTCACCATTATCGACCTGTCAGACAATGGAGTGGAGGTAGGTCGAAGCACTTCCGCGCATACCAAAGGATTTGTCGAATTTTAACACTTTTGCAAAATAACTATTGTAAATCAGCACTACAACAAAAATCTGCACTTTTACCAAATGCAGTTAGACGACCTTATGCCAATCAACTACTGGTCTGTCACAGGCGTCCTATTTCTTAAACATCGTCGAGTGTTCAGACAAAATAAAAAACCACAGCCGGAAGATTGAACGAACACGAATGCAAGGGTTGTTCGTTTTACCTCATTCTGCGCTCGTTGTCGGTCGCTAGCCACACTCGCACACACTTTTTGCTTGTGTATTATATTAAATTCAACCTCAATGTGGGCCAATTTTGGGTAGAAGCTATAAATTTTCCGAAGTTACCTTATATCCAATTTGGATCATATTGTAATTAAAATACGCAAACGTTATTGTTTCTTACGTTTTCCCAGGGCTGCACGGGCACATTTATCCGAGACAGACGGGTGAAGAGTATCGTAGCAGTGAATGACGACACCGTGTTGGCCGGCACGCAGTCTGGGAAAATCTGGGTTTTTGACGCGTGGAATCACAAGTGCCAGTTCTCCCTTCCTCAGCTTCCTGACGCGGTTCTCTGTTTGAGGCACTACAAGGATGGAGCCAATGACGTGAACGTGGACGTTGTACTGGCAGGACTCGCTAACGGTCAGTTAGCTGTTTATCACACACACAGTGTCAAGAAAGAAGATGCTCAACCCAAGTTTTTTGACCTGTGTCACAGCAAGATCATTGGAGATGCCACCTGTGAGGATTGTCAAGCCCATCCCTTGGCTTGCACGGCTGTTGGCAGAAAGAGGTTGTTCTGCGGGTGCGGTAACGAAATAGTCGTTCTCAGAATAAAGAAGAACTCGGAAATTGAGATCGAGCGTCGATGGTTTGTCGAGGACAGAGCAAAGGGACTTGTTTTGAACATCGCTGTGGGCTCAACGTTTGTTTGGATATCAACTCGTGATAGTCCGGTGATCGAGTGCTGGGATTTCTCCAAAACTAAATTCCTTGGCTCTGTTGACTGTCTGACAATTCTCAGGGACAGCGGCTACACTGGTGACTTACGCGAAACACGCGTTGTCAGCCTTCTCCTGTCGCACAAAATTCTCTGGGTAGGACTGGGCACTGGTCACGTGGTTCTCGTAGATCCTTCAACACGAAAACACTTGACCCTTATCCACCGTCACGTGTCCGCAGTGAGGTGTATGGCAGACACACGGGGTCCTACATCGCCCAAGTCTACTTCATTAGTGTTGACCGGGGGTATGGGGTTCATCGAGAGGCATGGTTGCGAGTGGAAGAGGCCTAACTCCGAGTTCGGTTATACACTTGTGTGGGAGGCAGACTTCATGGAACAGGCCAAGCATCTTGACAGCCACATACGTAGAAGGAGGGAACTGTCAAACACGTTAGGGGAAATAAAGTACAATTGAAAACAAGTCCTTCATGCCCCGCCGTGCAAGTGCATTTACAAGTCCTCGTTGTCTTGTTTTTTGATCATGATATTATAAAACTTAATAAAGTAATCAATAATAACGAATTGATTCGAAAAATATGTAGAACTTCATATCCTTTGTTGATAGCACCACTGAGTTTGTTTTGTACTAATATAAAAATGATTACAAGGTGAGAGCTTTTATTGAGTGATTGTTTTTCAGATTGCTTTTAAAGAACACTATTGTTAGGCTTTTTCATGGACATTTAAGATGAGATTTGATTACTGTGATGTAAATGTTACTGGCCAACCTTTTTTAATTTTAGGATACGAAGGTGCTGTGTAAAAAAAATCGTTTTTAGAATTAGGAAGTTGCACTTGATCATCACTGTACCAGTGGTATCAGAGTTGTGTTTTAAATGGTTGCTTTAGAGAATTGAAAATGAACCAAACTTATCTGAATTTTTCTCGGTTATAAAATAGAAAAAAAGAAGGAATGATTGGCAGAAATAATTATAGCTAAACTTGCGATGTGTAGTGAAATTGTGCAACAAAAAGCTACGGGATCCATACAAGATAGATTACCTTATTATTAAATAGGAAAAAGAAAGGAATAATTGAAATGATGAAATCAATGAAATAGTTAGAGCTCAACTTGTGTTGTGTATATGAAATTGCATAGAAAATAGTAACAAAAAAAACCTACAGGATCCATACAAAATAATAAATATTGTATAGATAAATAGACATTAAAAGATATCTATAAATTCAGTTCACGTTGAGATTCTGTTTGTACTAGTATCACTATGCACGCGAGATCAAACCAAACGATAGGTCAGAGCAGAAGCATATCACCTAAGGTGATATGCTTCTGGTCAGAGAAATAGGGCGTGGACCACCAAAGTTCATTCTGGGTTCGTGTGTGACTTTTTTTTACCATGCACACTAACTTGTCTCAGTCATGATGCGGTACCACTACCCTAAAACGGCAACTGTGGCCGTACTTTAGTAATTTTAAGTTCCTTGCACGACCAATCCCGGCCGAATTTACTTCCAAAAGCGTCGAAATAACCGAACGTGTCTGGGCATACCGACTACTTCTCTGGGAGTATTTTCAACCTTGCCAGTGGTGGTCAACAGCAACAACTTTCGGGGCAAAGCTTGGTTAGCATTTTTAACTATAACTCCATGGTCCAGATACGATCTTGAGTTGACGGAAAATCCCGTTGAAGCCCTGATTTTTTCCAATTGCTTAAATTGGAAAATTCACTGCGATGATCATTCTTCACTTTCATCTACAACCGCAGTTCA